CCCTGATGAGCTCTATCCCCCCCACACCCAGACCCCCCTGCTGAGCCCCAACCACCTTCATCTGGACCCCCCCTGAAGAGTCCCATTACCGTTGCCCCCAGAACACCCCATCAAGTCCAAGCACCCGGATCCCCCACTGAGCCACCTGCACCCAGATTGCCCCACAGAGAACCCTCTCAACCCACACCTGGATCCCTGCACACTTGCATCCTGCCTTGCTGAGCCTGCCTGCTCACACCTGGTGCACCTGGCATAAAGGGGCAGGGCTGGTCCTTCTGCTATGTCAGGGTTGGGTGCAGCCTCACGGCTGAGTCTGTGTTTCGGGGGGGGGGGGGGGGGGAGCTGCAGAGTGATCTCCCACCTTTGTGCAACCAGTGGCCCGTGCTCCCCAATGCCATGCCAGAGCCTCCACATTTATCTGACAAATAAAATTTGCAGAATTTTAAAATATTGTGCGCAGAATTTTTAATTTTTTGACACAGAATGCTCTCAGGAGTATATAGTACAGTGCAGATGAGCCCTTGAACAGTTTCTTAATAGCTACAGATACATTTCCCACTAGTCTCTAGAAACTATAACTTTAGATATCACACTGGTCAGTAAGAAAACTATGGATGAACTGTTTTTCACTGTTTATTAATAAATCTCTAGAATAATACAGATTTGAACATGCATATATAATCCTGCATTTCACAGGTCTCTTCAATCTGTTCAATCTTAGTTCATCCCACTTGCGTATAAGCATTATGATACAGTCTTTAATTACATGATCACATATCTTTTTTTCACAGGACCCTTACCTCCTTCAATGAGCCGGACAGATGGTGCTCACTGAATGGGTGACTAGTTAATATGTCTTTTAGTATCACATGCATTATTTACTGCACACTATCCAAAATCCGCACTGAATTATCAGCTTCCTCATGTGTTTTTCTATGATCTTATCTTACTTATTTACAAACTTTAATTACCTTATCTGCACAAAATAGAACTGAGACACAGTGATTAAAGTCAAGAATGTCAACTACCTTTGGGTGCCCAATTTGGGAAGACTTGGACCTGATTTTCTCAGGGCTAATCTACACTAGAAGCACTACAGTGGCGCATCTGTACTGATGTAGCTCTGCTGCTGTAACACTGCTAGTGCAGACGCTCTGTGCCGACAGTAGAGAGCTCTCCCATTAGCACAGTGGTTCCCAAACTTTAACAACTTGTGAACCCCTTTCACTAAAATGTCCAATCTCGTGAACCCCCTCCTAAAAATGAATATTTCCAGGGATTTTCTCCTTTACCTGAGTATAAATTATAAGAGCAGTGATCTTGGAAATATAAAATTTGTTTTTATGACATGCTTATTACATACTATTTATTATTAATTATTATTTATAATTACACTATTTTTATTACATTATGAAAACGGCAACATTCTTCCAAGATCTCACTTTCGTAGCTTGTATCACTTTGAATAAGCCTGTTATAAGACCAGGCTCCTATGTTTCATCAAGGAGTATCAGATTTGAAACAGCATGAAGGTATTTAAGAAGCCAACTCAAAGAGTTCCTCCTACATAAGCATTCAGGTCTTGAGTAGTCCAGGCAAACAACGCACGTTACAACAAAGCTTAAACTTGTTCTTTATAATAATTTTAAAAACAATACTCCTGCCTATTTAATTTTAAAAACAGCAAAAAATATCCACCTTCCTTTCCATTTCTTATAAGGAGTCTTGAAGTTTAAATCTCCTCAGTGTGATAGCTATGCATGCTTTGATCTGCTTAGCTCTTGGAAGTCCAGGGGCTCCAGGCTACTGGCCCCGTGCTGTCCGGGGTCCCTAGGGACAGCTCTGTCCACCATTAGGGAATTTTTTCCTAAGAACCCCCTGTAACATTTTGTGAACCCCCTGGGGTTCACGAACCCCAGTTTGGGAACCACTGAGTTACAGTGTTTACCAGTGGTCTATCAATTAACCCTTTCCTTTCCAAATGCAGTGTCTTTGTGGTATAACAGGATTTAAAACACCTATGCTGCAGATCGTCCACATAACTAAACTGGAACATATTATTAATACAGACTAGCGTCTTTCCACTATGCACTAGCTAAGGCACTTAGAACTGGTCCTCCTGTAGCACTGTGCCATGGATGGTGCTATTGAAGAGGATTGAGAATTTAACTTCATCCTGAGGAAGTCTCAAGCTGTTACCCTGCTACTAATTATACCTAATGGTGCGGACATCCTGCAAACGCTTGAGGACAATTATAACCATCTCCCCGCACTTGGGTATCAAAACAGAGGAACCAGGCTGGGCAGAGCCAGTGGTTCAGACCCTCCTATTTTAAGGGGTTTCCTTCCTAAATCTGAGGTTTAACTGCTTTGAGAACTAAGCTTAGAGGACTCTGTGCAATTGTTAGAATGACTAGAAATAAGTTTGAGTTCTGGAGTTGCATGGGAGAGGCAGAAGGCAGGCAGGATTTAAATATCAATGCCTTTGGTTGGTCCTGATCTCCTTCTGCAACTTTTTGCAGGAGTCCTGGTTTTGTCTTGGTACCCACCTGGCCTGGCAGATGACAACGGGGAGCCATCAGATAGTCTTGTGCCATTTATCTTGGATGCCGCACACAGGTATGCCATAAAGGTAAGGCTGCTCTCTTGTTGTTTGAAGCTATTAAACTAATTGCTCAAATTAACCAGGAATTGCTGCTGTGCTTCTTCAGCAGGAGCCTGCTCTGCAGTCTCCGTTGCTTTGTATTATTTTTAACTGCTCGTTATGGTAGGCAGTGGGGAGTCTTTATTTCGCAACAGCTGAGCACAAACTAGCATCACGTCATGAGGGGGATTTACAGCTTGTGCTCACAAATATTAAAACTAATTGGACAAAGCTACTATAAAAACCGTTCTAGTACCGGCTCCCAGGGATAGGTTACATGCCCTATGATGATGGAACAGACCCTTGGTCTGTTTCCTGCAAGGGAGCTGCTTAGGCAGCTTCTGGGTGGATACTGTGACCTCTTCAAAGGGTCTGGCACTTACTGATTGTCACCAGGAAAGCATGTGCTGTAAGATTGCTGTCACCACGTCTCCATGATTTATTTTGAAGGTTGCTTTCCACATCCAGCCATACAAAGGGCGCGATGACCACACTGTGCATGAGAACATTAAATACATCATAGACAAGTAAGTGCTTCGCCTTCAGTAGCTGCCATTAGCACATATTTCAGGCCCAACTCTGTGCTGAGAGATAGTGTGTCAGGCCAACCATGTCTTACTTGCATTAAACTTCTTGCTTGCTCTGTATGTGAGCTAAGTAAGTTATGCCACAGGGTGCTGTAGCAGAGAAATTCAACAGCATCACACAAAAGCTTATAAATAGCCCTTTACCTATATGTCATCCTCAGCAACCCTTGTAAAGTGAGTATATTAGCCCCAGAGTCTGTAGAAAAGGCCATTGGCAGAGATGTTAACAAGAAAATAAGATTTAAATGCTGGGGGATAAAGAGCTTTTCACTGTGGGTCACTAACTGGAATGTAGGCGAGCCAGGCAGTAACCAAAAGCTATTCCCATCCATTGGTGGATCTCTCGCCAGTTTGTAAGTGGGCATGTGTCCACGGGGCATTTATGGGCATGTCGATGGTGGTCATCACTGCCGTGTGTCTCAAGTATAAGTTAGTCTGACAGAGTTTCTCAGGGAATGCAACAAAGCTCTCCTGTTCCTCCAGCCATTCCCTCAGCGTGGTAACGTGGGTCTGAAATGTTGATCAATCCAGTGCAACATCCTCCCCTTTGTCGGTCTAACCATGGGCAATGCAGCTGAACCATTCTGGTAAACGGTGACACAGGGAGCACGCAAAGGCCTAAAGTGAAACAACTAGGACATGCAATTGAGCTGGGCTTCAGGCTGCATTTGCCTTGTAATGGGCATACCTGCCTGCTAGTCAGCATGGGGCTTGCTCCCCAGGCTCTGCTCACTCACTGAAATGGTCTGTGCTTTCTCTGTAGGTATGGAGCACATGCAGCTTTTTATAAGTACAAGACCAGTACAGGACGGAGCCTCCCATTATTTTACATTTATGATTCTTACCTGACACCCCCTGAATCCTGGGCCAACCTCTTCACCCAGTCAGGCTCTCACTCCCTCCGCCATACCCCGTACGATGCAGTGTTCATAGCACTGCTAGTGGAAGAAGGACACAAGCATGATATTCTCTCTGCAGGATACGATGGCATGTACACGTATTTTGCATCCAATGGCTTCTCTTTCGGCTCATCCCACCAGAACTGGAAAGCTATCAAAGCCTTCTGTGACTCAAACAACCTGATGTTCATTCCCAGCGTTGGCCCAGGCTACATTGATACTAGTATCCGCCCGTGGAACAACCACAACACTCGCAACCGAGTCAATGGAAAATACTATGAAACGGCTCTGCAGGCTGCACTCATGGTGAGGCCGGAGATAGTCTCCATCACTTCCTTCAACGAGTGGCATGAAGGCACTCAGATTGAGAAAGCGGTGCCCAAAAAGACACTAACACGCCTGTATCTGGATTACCTGCCTCATCAGCCCAACATGTATCTGGAGCTGACCCGCAGGTGGGCAGAACACTTCAGCAAGGAGAAGGAGCAATGGCTGATGTGATTATTCTGCACAGGAAGCCTTCAGACAGCCTGTCTTTGCTTTATGAAAAAGGTCACAATCGGTTGTGGGGACAGGTGCTTAAGGAGCAGTTGGGAAAAGCATCTTATGGGTCACAGTCTCTGTTCAGGGCTGGTGGGTTTGTTCAGTTGGCTAAATACAGTGTTCTCCATGAACAGCCCTAAAGCTGGTTTGAGCACCAACTCCACACTCACAAGAGGAAATGTTAGTGAGCAGAGGGGTCTCTAAGCAGCAGTCTGTTCTATTGCTGCTGTGAGTTTAGTACAGATGTCCCTTTTAAAGCCCTTCTGGATCTGAACTGGCCTGTAAGTGACCAGGCCAGGGAATGAATGAGGGAGAGATCTGTTTTTCTTACAGTGCAAATGTTTAGTGTGGTATTTTAGATATTAGCTGGGCTCCTACCCCCAGCATGTATTTTATCCTATGCCCTTCACCAGTTGCCTGCCGATTACATACTACACACTCCCCTAGCAGCTCTGACAGTGCACTTCTATTATTAGCTGATTGAAGCAAAGAGTTAATTGTTCCTCAAAATTGTTTATTGTAGAAGAAACAAAACCATACAGTTAAATACCCTTTGGGTGGTGTCAGTGAGCTACTGTATCCAAATAACTAAAAACAATCAGAGCTGGAATTTAACCTATTATCTGTATTGGCAACCAATGAACTGAAATGATCTGTACTAAAGGCTCTGTGTTTCACATGTTCAAAACTTAGCCTTAACTTTGTTTTATCTTGTCTCTAGAATCAAATGAAGTGCAACCACTTGCAATAAAATGTAACTGAAAACACTAATGTGTTCTACCAGAAGGAAGTTACATCACTATAGAATAAATACCCTTTTTTGTAACTACAGTACATCCAGGCCCTTCTACATTTGTTGTTTTAAGAACTCATTTGTACTTGTCTTTTTATCAATAAAGTGAGAAGTGGCAGCTTTAGATCGGAGTTAGTGCACAAGGCTCTACCTTGTCACATTAATTATGCTTAATTTAACTGTACAGCAAAAGTCAGAATTTGTATAAAGCACTATTGGTTTCAGTTTTCTCCATTTAATGCAAATGATTGAAAATGCACTCTTTCTAGCATATCACTCTAGGTAAAGAAAATATTAAAATCCTAGAAGTGTAGGGCTGTAAGGGAGCTCAAGAGGTCTAGTCCAGTGGTTCTCAAATTGGGGGTCAGGACCCCATTTTAATGGGGCCCAGGGCCAAAGCCTGAGCCTAAGGGCTTCAGCCCTGAGTAGAGGGTAAGCATTTAGTCTGAGCCTCTGTTATGGTGTTCATAAGACATTTCCATGCAGCTTACAGGCATTTCACTCCTGTGACTGTTCCTTTTAATTTCTATTTAACTAGATTCCTCGTTTTTGAGTAGTTCCCCCTTTTGAAGTTAAATGCTACTCTGGTGGGATTCTGTGGTATTTTTCCCCCTACAAGTTAAACTTAATTACATTATAGTTGCTATTACTAAGCGGTTCAGCTATATTCATATCTTGAATCAAATCCTGTATTCCACTTAGGGCTAAATCAATGTGGGTTCCAGGACTAGCTGCTCCAAGAATCAGTCATTTATGGTGTCTAGAAATTTTATCTCTACATCTTGTCCTGAGGTGACATGTACCCAGTCAATAGAGGGTAGTTGGAGCCCCCATTATTATTGTTTTTATTTTTTATAACCTCTGCATGTTGCACAATCACTAGTACCAGCCTGCTCCCGTGGTCAGTTGTGTATTCCTACTTCTACACTCCTACTCTCCAAGCATGGAATTTCTATCCAAAGAGATTCTATGGTAGAGTTTTTTGTATGAATCTGTTTTCTTTCACAACCTACTCTGTTTGTATATATTTTGTACCCTGGTATTACCATGTCCCACTGATTATCATCATTCCACCACATTTCTATGATGCCTATTATATTAATATCCTTATTTAATACTAGGTACTCACATACACCCATCTTTGTATTTAAACTCTTGATGCTCATAGAACCTCTGCTTATTACCTTTTATATCCCTTACCAGGTGTAACTTCTTTTGTCCCTTATCCTTGCAATTGTGTCCCTCCATACTGGTGCTATTCTTTTGTATTCCTACTCAGCACTTTGTCCATATTTCCACTGTAATGACCTGACAATCAAAAAGGAATCTTATATAAAGAGCTCCTGATGCAAAGTTCTGTGCATGGTACCAGAGTACGCCTCATTTAGTGCGAGAGTGGAATAAGCAAAAAGCTATCCCTGTGGTTGTGTCTCACTTACAATAGCATCTGGGTTATAAAGCCCTCGTTCATCTTTTTTGAGATTTGATAACAGTCCAGCTGCTCCATGCCTTGCTGCATGATGGGCCTTGTTTAGCAGGGTAGTTGCTAGTCAAATCTTCATCTCTACAATAAGTAACTCTAGGCTGCACAGAGATTAGTCTTAGAAAGATGAAAAGCCACCACCTCCAAAGGTAACAGTGTATGTACAAAATTCACACTTTAATGGCACTAACAAAGAAACATTGCAGAGATCCAGACACCTTAAATCTAAGCATTTATAACAGAGAAATGCTCATCATTACACACAAATGATGAAGAGACCCAGGGTGAAACATGAGGACTGATACAACCATTGACCTTATTAAACAAGGCCATTGACACTGACTTCCTGAAGAGACGGGCACATGGTGCCCAGTTTTACCGACTCCGCACAGCTTCCAGAGTTTGGTATCTCACGAACAAGAAGGTTCTGATGTCAAGCCATATTTCTTCCCCAGGATTTCAACTGTCGGTGTCAGAGCACTATGGAAATAAAGGCAAGTGGAGTGGTGACTAGAAAGGAATTCCCATTTGCAGGACTCAGTTGGTTCCACAGTTTTGTATTTTGCAGTTAAGGGAAAATACGAGAACCAGCTGAGCAAGGTCATCTTCAGCCCAGCAGTGCAAAAGAGGGGTATACTATGAACTAGCAAGTTATATCCTGCTGAACCCAGTATCTGTCGACTGCACTTTGACAACATTATACACTAACCACTGTAGGGAAATGGGCAAAACAAGCCCCATGTTTTAACTTTCAATTGCATTTTGTTTTACTTAAAGTGAAAGCTGCAGCTATGGTCAGCAAATAGTGCTTACCAGCCAGGCCGAATAATGGTGTATTTCCCAGATACAGACAAGTCAACCACAGTTGACCCCAGACGACACTCTGGACTCTGGATATCTCCAATTGCACCTCCATCAATGACCAAGGATAACTGAGGCCAAAGGTCTTGGAATTCCTGAGACAAGAAGGGAAAATTGGGTTCAGCCAACCAAACTTTTGAGGGGGTTTTGTTTGAGTTTTTAAATAGATACCACAAGTGAAGCTCTGTAGGACTCCAGTGTCAGGGAAGACCTCTCCTTTCTCTGAGCTTCTGATCTGAACATGCCACAGACATTGGAACACACGCACTTTCACTAGTTGAGGAGCTACAAGTGCCCTCTAAGGATTCTCAGGCTCAGGACCATTTGTTGCACAATCATGTTTAGTAAAGTACACAGGAAGCCTTTAAACAGTCTGCATTTTAAACTCTGCCCTTCCTCAATCTTTAGGGAGGCTCCCAGCCCAGCAGCAGGGGCTGTAGCAGAAATAGCATGGTTCAGGATGAGGAACAACCACCGTGGGAAAGGCCCTGGGGCTTACTGTACAAACAGGTTAGTAGCTTCTCCCCACTCCTCTCTGAAATCCTAGCACAGCAGTTCTCCCCAGTGACAAAACCAGCCTTACCGAGACGGTCAGCGTGCTCGCCCGAGTACTGATGTTGGCACTCGTTAAAGCCAGTGGTCCTGAGCAAGCCTGTGCCACCTCCCTAATGAAAGTGTGATTTGGAATACGAACGCCAACCAACTACAAGAGAAGAGAGGTGTGTTTATATGCAACAGCCAAAGAGAGGATGCATTTATAGGCAATAGTCACAGAGCTACAGGTCAACCACATATCCCATTACGTGTATAAAGCCCTGTTGACCTAAAGAAGTGTGGTCCAACTGGCAGTCTGAGGGCTTGATTTGGCCCACATAATGATTCCATCTAGCTGCTGCCCCGGCCACTTAACAATTTTCAGTTGTGCTGGGACATGCCCTGATGCCAGGGCAGGGCATAACCCAGATAGTGCAGGGGGAGCTGGTACCATTCAGCCCTACAGACCCCCGGTGGAAAGCCCATAAGGGCTCTAGCTTCCCCCCTCCTGCAGGCGGCTTGGGAAAGTACCAGGGCCTCCAGTTTCCTGCCAGCCCACAGTGCCAGGTCTCTGGCAGGGGCTCTCCCATTGGGAGGTACTAAGGGCGCCCCAGCCTGTTACCTCCTGTGCGGTTGGCGGGTCCCTGGCCACTGTCTCAGGCATGGCTGGAATGGGAGGTAGTGGCTGCTGGGTCTCTACAGCCCCAGAGTCAGCTAAGGGGGAGGCTGGGCCGGCTGTCCCTGCCTCCCTATGGTCAGTGCAGCTGGCATCTCCCACTCCAAGGAAGGGTGAGGGGGATCTCTTTACTGCTGCACTGGCCCAAGGGTCTGAGCACACACACACACACACACACACACACACTGACTACAGCGAAGCCACTGCCAGTCTCCTCCCTGAGACTGGGGTCGGGAAGGGGGACGGACCACATACCATTTCAAAAATTTCTGGGGACACATCTGCCTTGATATGTCACTGAAGTTCAACTTCTGATTTTCGGACTGTCAGAGAGGGAACTAAGCTGGGGGTCTGAACTATGGACAGCCTGTGGCCCTACTGAGGGAGTTTCTCAGCTGGACAGCAACACCCTCAGCTGCTGCTTCCAATGTTCTGTTACAAATATAGATGTTGACATTGGGAGTCAAGTGCTAGAAACTTTTTCCTCGGGGTTCTCACTAAGAGGTGAGCTATTATTTTATTTAATTTAGTTTTATTACTTCCTAACTCCCATTAACACCTTAATGGGTAAATTCTAAATCCTTTAAAACAAGTGATCTGATTCTAGAATCCGGAATTCTATTTCTGAATGTGGCACACAGTATAAAGTTTGGACCACAAAAAAAGGAAGGACAGGTCTTTCTACCAGCTTCATACACTGTCTTGAGGTAAGCACTCTGCACATCAAAAACTACAAGCTATATCACACTCAGACAGGTGACAAGGACACCTACAAATACATCCATCTTGGCTCATGTTCGTTATTGACAGGGCAGGAACTAGCCTCAAGAAGATGTCAATCGATGCTGAATGCCGTGAACACACAACGAACGCGAGTGGGAAGGCCAAGGAACCACGCTCAAAGGAGAAGATAGTCACTTGTCAGATTGCAGAGATGTGTGTCATGTCCCAAAGACTTACCGACGTGAAAGGGTTCAGGTCTTTATTGAGTCCTTCGGAGCGCTGCAATACCAGGGTCACAGGTCCTGGGAGTAGGTCCCGCAGCAGCTCTTCCGGCACATTGACATGGCAGTACCTATAAAGTACATTGAGATGTACTTAAAATTGCTACAGGATGCAGCCATAAGAGACGAACCATCACAGAGAGTGCTGCCACGCTCCCAGCTACCGCGACTCCTCCCCTGATGCTTTACATTTTTGCTATTGCACAGCTGAGACAGGTAGCAAAATGCAAGAAAACAGGCTGGCCCTCCCTGACCAAAGCACCACACAGTGAGAATTCTGGCAGCCCCAGACCCTTCTCTGAGGGGATTTCCCTTCCCTGGGCTCTCTAGGTACATCTGTCCCTGTTTCAATATACGGCACAAGGTACCTGCTCTACTGCAAGCTGTGCTAGACACAGATTTGAGATGTTTAGAGAGGACACATCTTAAAATCTATATCGCAGACTCATCTTTTTCCCAATGTCACCAACATGTTAGATATTAAAACTGAATTCTGAGCATTCCATTTACGTTTGTGATTGAAGCTGCTTGCATTTCTCTCAGCACGAACCATGATGTCAAATTAGTCCAATTCACTTTTATTATACACCACTCGTGAAAACAAAGCCGATGGTAGCTACCCGGAAAGTGCTCAAGTGCTGCAAAGGAAAACTTGCTTAAAAACAACTTCCCACTGCGATTTAATACAGTGTGTTATTTCTGATGGTTTCACAAAAGCTGCTTTTTAAAAGATCAAGTCACGCTTAGGTTGACAGACTCCCTGAAGTGGCTCTGGCATGCGGGAGGCGAGTGTCCCAGCCATGCCATATGCTCACCTGTAAATATGCTCCACGTCTCCCAGACAGATGGCCAGGGGCTTGCCCCCATTACGCCCTTTCAGATTATAGATCTTTTTAATTGCTTGAGAACTCTGGGCTAGAGCCGCGATTCCATAGATGGTGTCGGTGGGGACCGCTACCAGGCCGCCCTCCCGCAGCGCGGTCACGGTGGCGCTGAGCGTCTCCTGCCAGCCTGTCGGGCAGCAACAGCGCCGCGTTAAACCACGGGCCGAGCACCCGGCCCCGTGTCACCGTCTGCCCCGGCCCGGACAGGAGCTCGCCCGGGGCTGGGAGCGCAGCTGACGGCCGCGGAGCCCCCGAGCGGACGCGGATCCAGTGAAGGCACCGCCCGGGCCGGGCTCCCGCCGCTCTGCGGAGATGATCCCCGCCCAGGCCGCGATAACACACCCGGCCCCGACCCAGTCCCAACCCCCCCCCCACCTCTCCTCCCCCGCCCCCATCCCCGGCTCACCCTGCGGGTCGCGCTGCGCCGCGCCGGGCCCGGGGAGCGGGAGCGGCAGCGGGCGGCGAAGGCCCCGCAGCCCCCCGGCCCATCCCGGTCCGGCGCCCCCCACAGTCCCCTCAGCGGCCCGGGCCCAGCCAGCCAGCGCGACCCCGCGCGCGCTCAGCATGGAAGGAGCTTCCGCTTCCGCAGGGAAGAGTCACGATGACGTTGTTCCGGTCACGCTCCTTAAAGAGACAGGCCCCTCCAACTCCAGTTCTGCCCCCGGCTCTGGGAGGGGAGTGGGGCCTAGTGGTTAGAGGGGGCGGGGCTGGGAGCCAGGACTCCTGGGTTCTCTCCCCGGCTCTGGGAGGGGAGTAGGGTCTAGTAAAACATTGACGGGCGCTGAATTTAGAACGACCCTGGTTCTTTATGGCAATAAAGTTCTTGCAGAAGAAACTCATGGAATTTACTTATTGCGTGTGTCAGAGATCCACAGGATCTGCGCCAACCCCCAGCTTTTCAACAGCCCCTCAGAGGAATCCCTTCAGTGTGCCAGACCCCCAGGAGGTCCCACTCTCTTCGGGGTAGGCCACAAGGCCTCACTGCCTTCGAGTCCGACTGCCTGGACTCCAGCACTCCTGCTTCACACCGTGAGCTCTACCCAGCCAGTCAACTGAGATAGACTCCTGGTCAGAGACTTTACACTCTTCAGGGACCAATGCACCTCAGCAAGTATTTGCAGCGACCTCAGGCTGCCTGTCCAAAATGGAGTAGGGACCGTTTATTAGTCAACTGGAACACATCACTGGGAAATCCTTGGGTTAGCCGAGAGAAGCAAAGATGAAGACATAGTCTGTTCTGGCCAGGACAGTGCAATCAGCCAGTTAAGCTGTTTTGGAATCGCTTTCAGCTTTCTCCCCCGACCGTGTCTCTGTGTCTTTCAGTCCCAGGTGAGAGCCCTGTGTCTCACCTAAGGCTAGTTTTTGTCCTAGCCTCTCGACATCTTTTGGCCCACGGTTCTCCTCTAGACCCATGCTGCGATCATGTGTTCTGCTTGCCGGCTGTAGTGTCTCATGGATGTGTCAGTTGTTGCACGTTTGGGGCTCCCCTTGTCTTTCCAGACCCTCCACTGATATGGGTCAGTTTCAGCCAGTCTTTTAATGACCCAATTGTACCAACCCAGACAGTTAGTGACACACACACTCCTCATGTCTCCTGCTCTGCCCCAAGAGCACCTTTTTAACCTCTTTGCATCCACTGGATAGCAAGCTCTAGTCAAGTAAGTCACTGCCAGGCACATCATTCATACAACTATTACAGAAAATTCCCAGTTTGTCACAGCATGTGAGGCAGGTGAATGAATTGTTCTCTGCACCCTGTGCTGTTCATACAAGAGAAAACAGAGCAGGTAGACAGCCATGGAGATACACTATCCCGTTAACGTGCCAAAGGATTCACCATGGGGTGGCAGTGCAGGTTGGGTGGGGCACAACACCCCAGAGTGTAGTTCTTGTCTACTCTGCTAGACCTGCATCCCCGGCCCACTCTCTGGTTAACTCCAGTCCATGGCTCTGGCTTCCACAGTGCTTGATTTGCACAGCTGAGTGCTGCCTTTTTCTGGTGAATGCACCAAGCCACCAGGCCTTTCAGATCTGCTTTTTCTGAAGCTCTTGAGAAGCTAATATGTAGTTCCAGCCTTTTTTTGCCCTGCCCTGCTAAGTCCAAACGTTAAGCCACCTCTGCTTAGTGCACTTCCAAATCTCTCTTGTCATTATACAACTAAAGAAATCATTCGTCATGATCCAAAGGATCCTGTGACAGCTCCATTTAATCTCACAGTACCGGTCACAAAAGTCCCTCCTTGCTTTATCAACTAACTGTTGTCCCAATCTGGTGCAGGGCTGCCTGCTGTCTTTGGAGAGTACACATCAAGATGGGTGCCACTCTCTCTTCTGGCACCCACCGTAGGGACCTTTGATTGTACTACAACTGACAGCAAAGAACAAAGACCTGTAGGAAATAATTTAGCGAAGCCTGAATGAAGGAAAGCAAAAATAGGTTTCTTACAAAGACTTCACTTTTGCTTGAAGCCTTAAGAACAAGATATAATTAGAGGTGTGGCCTGTTTAGAAATGGAACAGGCTGAGGTTTCAAGGAGAACAGGTGGTAGCAATTGACTCACTGAAGGATGTTATAAATAAGGCCTCAGCTGGCTGACCTAGGAGAGCAGAAGGTAATGTTAGCTGCCTTTCCTCAGTTCAAATACTAGCTGGGACCAAAGCACCTTCTAGCTAAATAGCCCTCCTGGGGCACAGAATTTACCATTTAACATAGTTTGAGAAAAACCTTCTGTTTTTTCTCTTTAAATCTATTTGTGCTTGGAAGCTGCCCTGTTTCCCAATATGTTTTCTAAGTATGCAATCTACTCAGTGGAGCAGGTCCCAGTGAAATCTCACTGATTGCCTCAAGATACTGTTTTGGCTTTTTGATTAAATTTTTCCTAGAGTGTATGTGTTCAAGTCAAACACCCCTTTGCCTAGCTTTGGAAATTGATGACCTGCTGGATAATTTATCAATCTAGCTCAAACTGGGAATAAGTACCTTGTTCACCACACCCTTTCCTTCTCTTTTAATGGCAGAGAGGCTAAAGAGATTACCTCTCATTTTCTAGTTAACAGGGCCTGCTCCAACACCACCCTGGGTTTTTAATTTGTGATTGGGAGCAGGGGAGAGAAACCCCTTATAACTGATTTTTTTCCCCCCAGTGTTACTGATCCACTTGAAGAACTTGGTGAACTGGATGTCATCTCCCACACCTAACTGTCCTGACCCTAAGATTAAAACAATCTGCTCTCAACTCTAGCTTGGCAATGGATGCAGAGGAAGCTATGAAACAGGATACTGAGCAGCCCCCAGACACTGAGTCACTGGTTTGTATGGCTGTATGAATGTGTGTGGCTTATGGCATGAGGAGATGGAGGCTGGTGGTAGGGATGAGGTTAGGTTTATATGTAAGAATAATTCAAATATCTATGTGCTTTTTGTCGCTAGACTTTGTCAAAGCCATAAAGCAGCATTTTAACATGGACTCAAAGAAAGAGACTGAGCTGGCTCAAGCTCACCACCATGCTTGAGTTAAGGGTGTGTGGGGATACGATTCAGGTTAGGGGCAACACTTGAATTAACTCAGTGGTGAGGACAAGCCCGTGCATGGCCCAGCTGCTGCCCTTTCCAGGGGGTTTATTGCTTTTGTTGAAACACTGATTCAATTTTCATGTTCAAGACCAAGTGTAACTCATGTAACTGCTCCAGTCATGTGGATTTTACAGGAAGGCTGCTGGGCACTGCAGGCAGCGGCCAGGGAGATTCCCACTGGTACTGATGCTGCTTGCCAGGCCTGGTGCCGATTGCAAGACCCTCACTGGCTCTGGATGACAGAGCCCAGAGGGGTCCCTAGTTACTCTTCCCCAGGCCCTGGAGAATGTATTGTGGTGACTCCTCTCCGCTCCTCTGTAGGTTGAAGGTGTGAGAACCCTGCTAAGATCCCTTGAAGTCCGGCAGCAGCGCCTCCTGGCAAACATTGCCAGCTGTGATGAGCTGATGGCAGAAATCACCAGTCTTCAGGCTGCTCTCTGTGTTGAGTATTGTGATCTTCCCCACTTTCCTTGCAGCAGCAGGGCCATGACAAGGTCTCTGTAAAGGGGGCCGACAAGGGCTTTTCCTTTAACATCACACAACTGGTCTGCTCAAGATGGAGCAACTCCTGTAGTGTGCCCTGGTTTCCACAGGCTGTATCTCCACATGAATGGCAAGATGTGTGTGGGGGGGGGGGGGGAAGGGGTTTGTGCCATTTTTTTTTAATTACTAAGTTCATCAGAAAATGTTATGAGCTCTGGAAAGCAGCATCTTGACCCTGGGGCCGTGAGGTCTATGGCATCCTTAAATTCTGTGTTAAAGCACTCCTGGGAGTTATTGGATTGATGCATGTTTTTATTTGCTAGGCTCCTGCCAGAACAGAGGGCAGCTCCTTGCCTGCACAAGAAGAGGAGAAGAATTCCTGAAATGCCTAATGAGCGGCTCACCTGAGGGCTATTGATGAAGGAAGCCACTACAACTCTCAGTGGCTGTTCCCTACAAAATATACTTGCCCTCTATTCCCTGAACTTTCCATGCGGTTGGTGTGGTGTGTAAGTGCGTGTTGCTGTGACCTGCACTCTCAATCTCATTGTCTAGAAATAAATGACGTAACTGTTTGCTCTAGTGCAGAGAAAGCTGCAGCCTGTCACAAGTTAATGCCTGGGGAAAAGAAACAGTCTGACAGCAGCACTGATTGGAACTGGGCTTGTTAACTCCACTCAGGCTCTCCGGTGTCACCTTGGGTCACTAACAGGAAAGTAGATTCCCCTCCAGTCTCTGGATCTTTTAGTGCACAGGAGCAGTTGCACTGCAGAGGCTGCATCTCACCCTTTGTCCTGCTGATCTATGTCCTTCATCCCCTCACAGCCTTCAGCAGAGGATGGCTCCAGATTGTAAATTCCTTCCCCCTCATTCCTAGGTAGCTCCTATCTGTATTTTGAATGGGGGAGGAGTATTACCATGGAGCAGTGATGCCTTTGACAGCGGGTCAAACAACTGCTGCTAACTTGCGTTCTGCTCCATGAGTCAGGCTTGGGGGGGATGGAGGAGATGCAGAAGCCCAGCTGCCCTGGTTTGACACTAGACATTTCAGTTTAGGAGTTTGAGGGAGCTGCTGCCAGGGCCACGATGCTTTGATTTACTTCAGTCTGACAGAGTGGGTTAAAGAGGGGCCTAAAATAGTCAGGGAAGAACTGACCCCCTTGGAGCCTCGCACTGCACCTCCAGAGAGTCATGCTCCTGGAAAGGCTGGGCCATGGCTCTGGCTGGAGTGAGATGAACCTTGAGTGTAGCAGCTGGTGTGCTCTGACCACGGCTTTGTATCCAAAGTGTGATAATCTCACAGGCCTTGTTCTCCCCCAGCTGTTTGTTGTATCCTGCTATTTTCTCATCATCATAGACTTGGTCCTTGCCCTGAAGAGTTTGAGTCTCTCTCCATTTTGTGTTTCAAGCACAATGGGGTCTCAATCCTGGAGTAGAGTTCCTTCATGCTCCCCTAATACAAATCCTAGACCACTGACAATATAAGAGGGTAGAATGCAGTCAGCCCAGCTGCTTGGGAGAGACTTGCCCAAACACTTCAGCCCTAAATTATGAGGGGCCTTATGGACCCCCTGAGGTCCTTAAATTGGCTCACCAGGTACTTGTTCAGAGGCCAGCAGCCATTACTGATTCCCCTGCCTCTAAAGCAAATAGGCACCCTCTTTTGGCAGCTTCTGGATCATTTTTGAGAGGCCAGTCACTGTGAATGAGCCAGGCTCTCAGCTATTTGAGGCTTTTCATTAACATGCAATACCCTATGACCTTATCTCTGAGTTAATGACTGCAGAGACCTGCAGTTACCACTAGCTGACAAAGCGGGGTGGGGGGGGCAGGCTGAGCAGCAGCATGGTACAGTGGTTAGGGCACTAGCCTATGACTTGGGAGACCTGGGTTGAAGTCCATGCACCACCCTAGACTTCAGTAAATCACAGCCTCTCTACCTGTCAAATCACAAGCACCTCCTCAGGTTGGTGGGAGCTCAGCTGCTACAGAAATAGACATACAGAATAAGTACGTAAGATAGATAATGCCAAGGCTGGGCAAAGAAGCCTTTCCTACTCTTTTTTTCCCTCAATCCTTACTAATAGCCCCGGGTCTAGAGCAGGGGTGGGCAAACTAGGGCCTGCAGGCTGGATCTGACCCACCAGCTGTTTTAAGCTGGGCCTCAAGCTCCGGCACTCCAGTCAGGGAGCAGGGTCAGGGGCCGCTCAATGCGGCTCGCGGAAGCAACCGCATGGCCCCGCTCCGGCTCCTATGCAATCCAATGGGAGCTGCAGGGGCGGTGCCTGCAGATGGGGCCACCTGGCCGCGCCTCCACGTAGGAGTCAGAGAAGGGACATGCCGCTGCTTCCGGGAG